TGTTATGCTGTGGACTCACTTTCGGGGATTAGGTGACATGATCAGAAATAATGGAGGAATGTGTCACTCTGCTGTAAAGACTGATTTCTTTGATAGTTTACTAAGGGAGTTGGAGATCAAAATACTCAGGCTTATTAAGCAAATAAACCTAATAGAGAAACTTGTATCAAAGTTGTCTCCAGGAAGTTAAGAGACCATGATGAGTGAGGGAATATGGCCTAAATGTCACAGAGTTTTGTAGACTTTCAAAAATAGATGTAAAACGTGCTTTCAGGAGGTTCACATGTGTGTCTCTGATTCAAGGTGATTGTTACCTTCATAAGAACACTACTTGTGTGACTTAGATTAGTTTCTCTATTGGACCAGTGGTTCTTAAGTGGAAGCACATGTCCAGATTACTTAGGAAGTCTTTTTAAAACACATGCGTACAGGGGCCTAGCCCAGACTATTGTTACTGAGTCATTTGTGTTGGAGGCTAGAAATAGGTACTTGGAAAAATCCCCTGCAAAATTGAGAAGCATCTGGTTTCAAACTAGTTAAGGATTATAATTCAAAAAGACACATGTACTCCAATGTTCATTGAAGCACTATTCACAGTAGCCAGGACATGGAAGCAGCCTAAATGCCCATTGATGGATGAATGGATAAAAAAATTGTAGTATATATGTACAGTGGAGGAATGAAATTGGGTCATTTGTGGAGAAGTGGAATTGGGTCATTTGTAGAGATGTGGATGGAGTATGAGTCTGTTTTACAGAGTGAAGTAAGTCAGAGAAAAACAAATATTGTTTATTAACTCATATATGTGGAATCTAGAAAATGGAACAGATGAAGCTATTTGCAGGCAGAAATAGAGACACAACATAGAGAACAGATACGTGGACATAGGGGAGGAAGGGCAAGGAGAGATGAATTGGGAGATTAGGACTGACATACATACATTGCCATGTGTAAAACAGTGGAATAAAAGAAACCCGCCGTATAGTGCAGGGAGCTCAGCTGGGTGCTCTGTGATGGCCTAGATGGGTGGGGTGGGGGGAGGTGAGAGGGCGGCTCAAGAGGAAGGGGGCACATATATACATAGAGCTGATCCATTTCGTTGTGCAACAGAAACTTAACACAACTTTGTAAAACAGTTACACTCCAAAACCAAAAGAAAGCAAAACAAAAAACTAGTGAAGGACCACCACTCTTGCCTGAAAGTCTGGAGTAGCACAAACCAAGGGTGACCCCTCCCTGTAACCTTAAAATCCTGTATGACGCCCGGTTTGTAGAAGTGAGTGCAAGAAATGTTCGCTGAGGAAATGAAACCAAACTATTTAGAAAACCACATTGTGCATTCATTTAAACTGCTCACTCATTTAGATCGCTACTGGCTTAGTAAATAGTTGAAAAGAATTTTTAAAATAACCATTGAAGAGATGCATCTTCTGGACAATTAGAGAACATTTTGTGATCTAAATACTTATGAAGGGGACAGATGATGTAGAGTTTTAGGTAATTTGATGTGAAACTAGAGAACAAAGCAGAAAGATGGACAAATACATTTTTAATGACAATTTGATTTTTACTTCCATTATTTTATGGGTAAAATGTCTTTTAGAGTAAGAATTCTGATAGCTCCCCTATGTTGTTCCAGATTCTATTTGTCTGTCAAAGTTGATGAGCAATTTTTTTTTAGTAAGCTGGAATTTGTGTATTCTAATAATGTCTGTTCTTCCAAGTGCACTCAGATTGACAACACATTCTGAAAAATCCTCTTTGGGATTTGTCTGTGCTGTGCTGGTCCTATATGCACCTATATCCTGAATTCCTACTTGCCACCTCCCTGAGACTTGTCCCTTGCCCTCAAGGAAGTTTCAATAAGGGCAGTTTGGTAGGTAATCATCCACAACATAAAATAATCAGACCTTCATGTAACAGTGCGGATTGACATTGTGCAGCTGGGAAAGGACTGGGGTATTGCTCGTGAATAAAGTGTGTGTGTTAGTCTCTGAGTTGTGGCCCACTCTTTGCGACCCCATAGATTGTAGCCGGTCGGGCTCCTCTGTCCATGGGATTCTCCGGGAGAGAATACTGGAGTGGGTTGCCACGCCCTCCTCCAGGGGATCTTCCCGACCCAGGGACTGAACTGAGTCTCTTACTTCTCCTGCATTGGCAGGGGGGTTCTTCACCATTAGTGCCACCTAGGAAGCCCAGGTGGTGCTGGTGGTAAAGGTGGGGTAGGGTGGGATCTGAACTATGATGACAGGAGAAGGAGGCGTATTCCGGGGAGAGGTGCTGTGGGAACGTTTGCAGAGTTGGGGTGATCAGGGCGTATGAAGGTACTGTGAAGAGGAGGCGTGTGGTGTCTGCAGGATGCAGGGCCACGGCTGAGAAGTAGAAACTCTGCAGAGGAGGTGCGTTTGCCTAAACCGTCCTTTTCCTTTTATTCCAAATCCGATTTACCCTAAAGTTTTCAATAGGAAAACTTAGAAAGAGAGCAACTAGTTCTCTATGTATGTAAAAAGCACTCCTTCTGACTTGCCATGTCCATCTTAACTGAGACACCGGCTCCTAATTACAAACTTGAAGTTGAGGTGTGTCTCTACTGTGACTTGGGTCAACTTCTCAACATAGCCTTGATGCTTGTGAACGGAATTAAATTTTCTGCTGCTGTTTTGAACCCATCTTCTACCTGTTGAAAACATCCCTTGTGCTACCATAGTGCTTTGCCTTTTGCAGATTTTTTGTTCCTAGATGCTTTTCAGGGTACAGGAAGCAAGGGATGAGCCTGTCAGACAACCTCACTGTCTGCCTATGTCCAACTGTCACCATAAAAAGCATCCTTTTTTGATGTTAAAAGAGCCCCAGTTTTGATGATAAATTCTATGGTTACCCTCTTCAGGGGTTACTATCTTTACTTCCATGAGAAAATTGGGGATTTAGAGAGGCATGGCTGTCTAGAATAATTTCTACTCCCTTGTCTTAAGCATCTTTTCTTGGTAATGCAGGAATCTTTCTTCTGGGTGATGAGGTATTAATTATAAGTTGTTCATTTTGAAATTAAAAATTATTCCTAAATAAATGAATATTCTTACTAGAAAAAGGTACACTGTCTTTGTTGTTGTTCAGTCTCTAAGTCATGTCCAATTCTTTGTGACCACATAAACAGCAGCAAGCCAGGATCAATGTCCTTCACTATCTCCTGGAATTTGTCCAAACTCATGTCCTTTGAGTCCATGATGCCACCCAACCATCTCATCTTCTGTCTCCCCCTTCTCCTCCTGTTCTCAATCTTTCCCAGCATCAGCATCTCTTCCAACGAGTCAGCTCTTCACATCGGGTGGCCAGTGTATTGAAGCTTCAGCTTCAGCATGAGTCTTTGAAAAATAATTATCTTGTTGATGCATAGTCCTCACAGTATTATTTCCTTATTCCAGTTGGAGGCTTTTATTTGACATTTATTGCTATCTACTTTGTACAGATAGCTATACTTGACATAAAGATCATCATTCAGTGATAATTATGACACATTATTGCTTTTGCAATCAGCATTCAGCTATGATTGGTCCACATTGCAATAAGGAGTTCATGATCTGAGCCACAGTCAGCTCCCAGTCTTGTTTTTGCTGACTATATAGAGCTTCTCCATCTTTGGCTACAAAGAATATAATCAATCTGATTTCGGTGTTGACCATCTACTGGTGTCCATGTATAGAGTCATCTTTTGTGTTGTTGAAAGAGGATGTTTGCTATGACCAGTGCGTTCTCTTGGCAAAACTCTGTTAGCCTTTCCTGCTTCATTTTGTACTCCAAGGCCAAACTTGCCTGTTACTCTAGGTATCTCTTAGCTTCCTACTTTTGTATTCCAGTCTCCTGTGATGAAAAGAACATCTTTTTTGGGTGTTAGTTCTATAAGGTCTTCATAGAACCGTTCAACTTCAGCTTCTTTGGCATTAGTGGTTGAGGCATAGACTTGGATTACTGTGATATTGGATGATTTGCCTTGGAAATGAACAGAGATCACTCTGTTGTTTTTGAGATTGCATCCAGGTACTGTATTTTGGACTCTTTTGTTGAATATGAGGGCTACTCCATTTCTTCAAAGGGATTCTTGCCCACAGTAGTAGCTATAATAGTCATCTGAATTAAATTTGCCCATTTGAGTCCATTTTAGTTTGCTGATTCCTAAAATGTTGATGTCCACTCTTGCCATCTCCTGTTTGACCACTTCCAATTTACCTTGATTCATGGATCTAACATTCCAGGTTCCTATGCAATATTGTTCTTTACAGCATCAGACTTTACTTCCTTCACCAGTCACATCCACAACTGGGTGTTGTTTTCTCTTTGGCTCCATCTCTTCATTCTTTCTGGAGTTATTTCTCCACTCTTCTCCAGTAGTATATTGGGCACCTACCAACTTGGGCAGTTCATCTTTCAGTGTCATATCTTTTTGCCTTTTCATACTGTTCATGAGGTTCTCAAGGCAAGAATACTGAAGTGGTTGAAATTGGTACCATGCAGTCAGATTTTCAAGTAGATATTTAGTAATAAACTCAACGTAAAATGTGTCTCATGTTGCATGCCACTGTGAGGGCACTGAGCTGCTTGGACAAGCCCATAGCAGGGGAGATTTAGTGCTTGTGACTACTCAAAGTAGCCAAGAGGATGGAGAGCTGGGAGTTGCAAGATAGTGGCTCCCAGGGAAAAGACAGCTTCAAAAGCAGGGCTGGAATTCAACAGAGTGGCCCCTAGAGGGCAGGAAAAGGATCTCAGGTGATGTCGGAGTGCCTGGGGTCCTCGGTGTCAGGCATTCCTTGTGATTCTTGGGAAGAATGTCCTACTTTAAAGGCCTGAGGTCCAAATGACCATTGACCACATGCTTTATTCCTTGGCCTGACTTATTGCATTTTGATTTGTTTGCCAGAATTGATTCTTATGCAATCTATATCCATAGTCTTGTCAAAAGAATGTTGGTCAAGCTTTACATTTCCTATTATCCCATTTTCTTTTAGGTTTTGTGAATGATTCTGTTACTAAATCTATCGTGGCTTTGCGCTTGACTCTGGTGGTGAAGACCAGCACCTGTGCGCCGGGGGAGAGCCGCGCAAACGACCTGGAGTGCTCAGGAAGAGGAAGGTGCTCCACGAAGCCGTCAGAGGTTAGGGGGACACCTGGGAGCTTTGAAAATGCATATTTACATATGGGCATATTTACATATAAGCACACATGCATGTATATATACATACACGGACTGCAGCCTCCTAGGCTCCTCTGTCCGTGGCATTTTCCAGGCAAGAATACTGGAGTGGATTGCCGTTTCCTTCCCCAGGGGATCTTTCCAAACCAGGGAATGAATCCTGGTCTCCTGTGTTGTAGGTAGATGCTTTACCATCTGAGCTACCAGGGAAGCCCATCAGTTCAGTTCAGTCACTCAGTTGTGTCCAACTCTTTGCGGCCCCATGGACTGCGGCACACCAGGCTTCCCTGTCCATCACCAGCTCCCAGAGCTTGCTCAAACACATGTCTGTTGAGTCAGTGATGCCATCCAACCATGTCATCCTCTGTCATCCCCTTCTGCTCCTGTCTTCAATCTTTCCCAGCATCAGGGTCTTTCCCAATGAGTCAGCTCTTCGCATCAGGTGGCCAAAGTATTGGAGTTTCAGCTTCAGCCTTGGTCCTTCCAATGAATATTCAGAACTGATTTTCTTTAGGATTGGCTGGTGTGATCTCCTTGCAGTCCAAGGGAAGCCCATATATATATACACACACACATATATGTTTTGTGTGTTTGTGTGTGTGTGTATAAAGAATGAAATAGGAGAGAGCAAGTGCATTTGCTGAAAATACCCCCAAATTTCTGGTTTCAATTATTTGTGTTCAACTTACAGATAGATAAATTTCCGTATAATTTTCAAGGTAAATACTGAAAAATTATGCAGTGCTGGGCCCCCTCACTTTGGTATCAAGCAGAGATTTTGTGAGAAGTAATTATCATGTCTGGTTGCAGAATCAAGAGAAGCAGAAGAAAGAAAAGCTAAGACAGTTATCTATTTCCCTGTTGTGACCTAATTCCCTCCTGAGACTTCTCCTGTCCCCAGTGGTGAGGGAAAAGTAAGAGGAGGAATGGAGAGGAGGCAGGGTGAGAAGGCGGACTCACTCTGGCCTTTATGGACCAGGGCCATCAGCTCTGGAAGACGTGAGTCCTGAGGCTTCCCTGGTGGTCCAGTGGTTAAGACTTCATCTTCCCAGGCAGGGGATATGGGGTCAATCTCTGGTGAAGGAGTTAAGATACCACATGCCTCTTGGCCAAAAAACTGGAACATCAGACAGAAGCAGTATTGTAGAAAATTCAATAAAGACTTCTAAAAAATGGTCCACATTAAAAAAAAAATCTTAAAAAACAAGAGACTTGAGCCCTGTCCCCCGTTGTCTTTAGCATCTGACATCACATGGGCAGGGGGTAGGGGCTAAGACATGTCCTGAGTGAAGGGGTCTTGGAATCAGACCAGCAAAGGACCCACCATCATTGAAGTCAGTCTCCATCCATTGAGGATGCCCTGAGAACAGTTTTGGCAGATGGAGTTCAGGCTCCACCCGATCAGGGTGAGAAAGGGAGACTCCGTAGCTAGCAAGGGACCCTTTTCCATTAGGAGATGCCCAGGGTAGCGTCACTGGCTGCATTCAACTCCTGCATCCATTCCTCCGTTCTCCTCTCCCCAGTTCCACAGAACTCCGTATTTCCATTGGGGTTCATGGCATGTGAAAGGCAGTTCCCCCCCCCCCCAAAAAAAAAGGCAGTTCCCTAGGTCTCCAAAGAGCATTTATTTTATTTTAGACCAATCTGAAGGGTAACACAGGTAAATTCTCTTTGCTGACGCCTCCTAGTGGTAATGCAGCACATTCTGTAACAGTGGTGCCAGCTTGGACAAATGAAAGGGCTGGGCCTAAAGGATAGAAGGGCTACTGGAGCACTTTCAACTACTCCTCGTGTCGTCTTGGGAAACCTGTGATTTTGATGTCTTACATGTGATTTAAACATACCGTTTTCCCCTAAAATATCCCTCGTAGCAGGCAGCATGTGGACAGGAACCCAAGAAAGTACCTGGGATAATAATTTCTGCTACATCCTCCAATAAAAAATAAATAAATTTAAATTAAGAAAGCAAATGTATTATGTTAAAGCTTCATGACTCCACAGGTGGGTATCTTCTCTTCGTTTCATAGATGAAGAGAGAGAGATTAAGCTACAACTCAAGGCCTCTTAGCTGCTAACTACCCAAGTCAAGTTTTTAGTGAAGTTCTATGTGATCCCAAAGCCTATTACAATCTTCTACTAAAAATATTATATTTTAAAATTAAAAAAAAAATTTCTGCTACATTTTTGAAAAGGGACACAAGTGTAAACCAAAGCCATGACCAGATCCCTGGGGGAGGGGAGAGTGACTGGTGTGAAACCATGGGGGGAAGCCTGAGAGTTCTTTCTCAAGCTGAGTCTGCCCCATAGGTCCCATTTTCTTTTCTCTTGGCCAACTTGGACTCGCCTCTTCTCTATCCTGAAAGTGAACGTGAAGTCGCTCGGTCGTGTCTGACTCTTTGCGACCCCACGGATTGTAGCCCAGGGAGTTTTCCAGGCAAGAGTACCGGAGTGGGTTGCCATTTCCTTCTCCAGGGGATCTTCCTGACCCAGGGATCAAATCCAGGTTTCCTGCATTGCAGGCAGAGGCTTTACCTCTGAAGGGAAGCTTTGTTTATCCCATTTATTCTATGAATAAATAAATAAAGGCTATTGAGTGTTCTTCTGTGACCATCCAGGTTAGTACAGACATGTGAGAAGTGATGGAAGCAGTGGGGCGCTTGTTTGATAAGGAAGTTCTACAAGAAATGAACATGAGGAAGGCCAGTCTCTCGAGGTGGAAAATCATCAGATCTTCCCAGTGAGGCTGCAAAGAGGAGGCACAAGGGTCTTCCTCAGATTCACTCTTCTTTTTAATATATATTTTACTGAAGTATAGTTGACTTACAGTGTTTCAGGTGTGCAAGCAAGGTGATTCACATGCAATGCGGGAGACCTGGGCTTGATCCCTGGGTTGGGAAGATCCCCTGGAGAAGGGAAAGGCTACCCACTCCAGTATTCTTGCCTGGAGAATTCCATGGACTGTCATGGGGTCACAAAGAGTTGGACACAACTGAGCGACTTTCATTTGCACTTCACTTTCATACGCATATATTATTGTTGATATTATTTTCCAGTATAGGTTATCATAAGATATTGACTATAGTTCCCTGTGCTATACAGTAAACCCTTTTTGTTCATTGCATATCTATTTTTAAATGGGAAATCTAGCAGTTTATTCATACTAAGTCAAACAAGTGGAATCAAAATGTCATAAATTTTTTAGTTAGGCAAAAATGCATAAGTTTTCTAAAATTATATATTATACCTATTTTATATATATTGTATACAAAAACTTTTCTAGTATGCTTGACAAAAGCTTGAGAAAGAATATCAAAAAAAGAAGACTTTTTAAAAAAGCCTTATTTATTTTATTTCTGTGGCATGCTGGGTCTCAGTTGAGGCCCTCAGGAACTTTTATTGAGTTTCATGAACTCTCTAGTTGTGGTATGCAGGCTTAATTGTTCTGTGGCATGTGGCCTGTGGAATCTTACTTCCTGGACCAGGGATGGAACCTGTGTACCCTGCATTGCAAGGTGAATTTGTAACCACTAGACCACCAGGGAAGTCTCCCCAAATTCGTTCAATATTCCCAATGAGCAATTCTGCAGCCTGATTACCCTCAAAAGCCATGTGGATGACAGGGAAATGTCTTCAATGAAGAACCAAGGACTGTGCTTGGAATCTGGGACTGATAGAGTGCTTTCTCTTATAACGTGACCCTTCTGGGGAAACTTTTCATCTGAAAAGCATTTGCCAGGTTATCTTAAAACATCCATGTTGGTGGTATTTGGCCTGCCTTTGGGTTTCATCTGCATGAAAGCTTAGCTCAGAGGCTCTGCCTGGTGGCTTAGAATGGACTAATTGCAAAGGTGGTAGAAGTATTTAGCACCTGGCAGGCAACTTGGCAAATGTCAGAGCTCTTTGTTTCTTTGAAAAAAATGACTCAAAAGCCTTGGAATCCATGCTAACGTCAGCACAGCTTCTTATGGGTTCCAGCTCCTTTGAAGAGCTCTGAGTGCCCTGCCCAGAGATAATACCTCTACCCTCTGTCTGCACCTCCCAGTTCCACCCCAGGTGCTTCTAAAGTGTTGTTAATTCTGTCAAAGCCTGCATTTACCTTAAGTGAATTTAAGGAAACTGTGACCAGTCATCTCATCTGAGACACGATAATTACCCCCTGGTGACTGTAAGCAAGTGGTCAGGCTGGAATTACCGTGTTGTTCATAGACCTAGCACATTGTTATCTTGGAGAGAAATGTCTGGAAGCCAGCCTTATTGTTCCCCAAAAGCTGAACAAGCCATGATAGGAGTGAGAACGGAAAGGTGGGGAATCTTTCCTGTGTCTGTGTGAGTCTTGTGGTTTTCATCATGGCTGTTGAAATGATTTAGGAGTAGTCTGCTAGTAATAAAAGACTCGTTCTCAAGATTCTTTCTTTTTATTGTTTCTTAAAATTAGAAATTATATAGTCCAACCTTTCACCTAATGCAAAAATCTATCCCATTGTACAAAACAAAAAGAACTGTATTTGGTGGTTTAATTTTATTGTTTCTAATCGTTTTTCTATCATTTTGTTAGAGCATCCATCAAAATAAAAGCAATTCTGTTACTTCCACACTACTCTCATTTGGTAATGGAACTCGTCTCTCTTTTGTCGAAAGTGCTTTAGCTGGAGGATATTTCACAATTTCGAGTGATGAGTGGTTTGTGACAAGGTGTTGGTTTGCTGTTCTTAGATATCCTACCAACCTGGGAAAGCTTTTTAAGTGTTTGCAGGACCTATTTTTTTTTTTTAATTGGAGTATAGTTGCTTCATGGTGTTGTGTTAGTTTCCGCCATACAATGAAGTGAATCAACTATGGTGTGTTAGTTGCTCAGTCGTGTCCAACTCTTTGTGACCCCATGGAGCCTGCCAGGCTCCTCAGTCCATGGAACTCTTTAGGCATGAACGTTGGAGTGGGTAGCCATTCCCTCTCCGGGGGAT